CTCGACCCGCTCGACACGATCCCATTCGGGAACCTGAGCGACATCCCGGGCGGCCAGGCGGTGATCCAGCGGCTTCTCGACTTGTGGACGAGCGGCAAGATGTACTTCGAGCGTGCCGACGAAGCGTTCATCGACCTCGCGAAGCGCAACCCGAAGGCGGTCATGCCTGGGAAGCCTCCCGTACGTCCAGCGCCGAAGTGCTGGGGCCGGCAGAGCAGGGACGACATCGGGAAGGCGCGAGGGCGGCCAGCGTCAGGAATTAACCCGAAGACGGGGCGGCCATACCGGAGGCGCAAGGACGGGCCCAAGACGCCGAAGATGATTCTGGACTCGGACATCGACTCGGAGGACGAGGTGGAGAGCGACATCGGCAGCGAGTAGGGTTCTCGGGCGGGGCAGAGAGCGGTCGACTAGCGGGGCGGTGTCCGGTATTCCTAGCTAATTGCGAGTCTAATTTAGACGCATGTCGTAATTTCCACTTTCGTTTGGTACGGCAGACAGGGCTTGATGAGCGAGAGTTCGGCGCTGCGGTCGCCGCTGTTGTGGCAGGGAGCAAGAAGCACAAGCGCGCAGGGACGAACGACAGGAACTGCCGTGTATGGCAATTGTTCCGAGCGCCTGAGAGATTGTGGCACTGCGTGCGGGCGTCCGCTCCGATTCCCTCGCTTGTCTCTTTCCCTCACACTGCTCGCGCCCGCGCCCGACGATTCCGTACGCATCAATCGAGCGCTGTGGTCCGTACAATATTATACGATTATCTCGTGGATTGCATCCTCAGAGCGCGCGAGATGAAGGGAGCGCGGCATCGGCTTTTCGGGTCTGGATGCTCCGTGACCGGCGGGAAGGTGCGCGGGTTACGTTCGTGCGGCCGCCGTCTGCGCGCAGCCTGCGCGGAGCTCGGTAAGTGCAAATTTACGCGACAGCACTGTTGGGGCCTCTATCTGACATGTTTCAAATATTTTTGGGAGCCTCCTGGGCGTGCAGGCAAGTGCCAAGAGGGTGGGCAGTAGATAGCCATTTCCTTTGCATGTACATGTACAGTAGACAGGCTCCTTGGGACAGTATATTCTTGAGTGAAGGCCATTCTGACAAGATAGTATTTTCTGAGTCCACCGGCTGAGCTGAGCACACTTGAGCCAATCTAAGCTAAACCCCCGAAATGCGCCCTGAGAGAACTTGATGCACACAAGACATGGGATTGATTAATTCAGAAGTACAGGAGGATCACTAACTACGCGAGGACGGCGTCCCCGTTGCGAGGCTAGATGGCTCTCTAATTTGGGGGTATGCACAGCCAATGTCAGCAGAGTTATTGTCAAGCAAGGAGTGACAATAACGCACTTTGGGCGCGGCGAGATGCCGATTGCCGCCGACGCACACGCCGTGGCAGCGGAGACGTGCGCCGCGTGTGCTGCACTCCGGGAGTGCAGCACCTTGGTATGGTGGGGCGGCCGGCAAACGCTGACCCACACGGCATCCTGTGCCAATCCCCCTCCCATGTCCATACCTCGTGCCTCCTCCACCACCGCTAGCGTCTCGCTGCTCTTCCTGCACACACGTACCTGGTCACTCGCCGACGCCCTCGCACCCTCGCCATCACCACGCCGTTGCACTCGACTCTGGGAGGAGCACAAAGCTCAAATGATCAGCAGGACAGTGGTGGGCGGCGGTGGAGCACGCAAAGGTACGTACTCGGCTTGCCTGATAGCGGAATACCTCGAGCAGATGCTCGGGCAGTCCCCGCAACCTCCAGGGAAGCTTCGCGTACCGCGAGACGAAACAGGTTGCTGCAGAGCGCGCCCGCGCGCCCGTCCGTGCGTCGATACGGCGCTGCAGAACGCGCTGCGAGATGGGTGCGCAAATGTGAGTTTCTGATTGCGACTGCGCACGCGAAGGCATATATTGACATACCTAGAGACGACGCAGCCAGTTGAAGCACCTCGCGGCGGACGGGAGACTCGCAGGAGCTCCTGCAGCGCGTGAGAGCGCGGACATCCCCGCGCGCGGCGCTTCGACGATGCCCTGGTGAGGTAGGTAGATCCTCCGGCGGCGAGGTCGCGAGGTACGAGCCCGAGGACCAAGTACGCTGCCGAACGCCCTGCGAGGTGAGTTCTTGGGTACATGAAGGCGTCGACTGGGGTACCTCGGGGCGGCGCGGGAGGTTCAAGCACCGCGCGGCCGATGTGGGAGCTGTGGAAGCTCCTGCGGCGCGTGAGAGTGCGCACATCGTCGCGCGCCGCGCGGCGCTTCGACAATCTCCCGGCGAGGCAGGTAGATCTTCCGGACGGTGCGGACGGACGTACTTCCGCGAGGACGCATGCTCGCGCGAAATGCGATGATACCTAGGACACCGGACGAAGATGAGTACCATGTCTGTCTCGAGACCTCGGATGGGTCGTCTGACGTACATGCGCAGGGAATTGCGACGAACATGAACGGCCGGCGGCCGTGGGGAGTCGGGAGTCGGGAGGCGGACAAGGTCGCGCCGGACGTGCCGGCGGCGCGGAGTCTATGTCTGTGAGAGCACGGTGAGTCAAGGCGCCGGCTGAGACACCGCCCAGAGCTGACCTGAAGTGCGTCGTGCAGGACGTTCGTCCCAGATCGTCTTCCGAAACGAAGTACGTCGGCGGCCGCGAGCAAGGGCGGGACGAGGCGGAGTCGTGGCCGTGAACGCTTGAAGTGCGCGCGTAGATAAAGCCGCACCGAGATCGCTGTTCGGTGGCGCTGCGCCGCACCGTGCGCCCCGAGATCTGCGGACTCGCCTGCGCGGATGGAGCAGACGCGAGATCGCGCAGAGGGTCTGCGACGGGCGCGTCGAGGTCAGCAGCACGCGGCGCCCCAGCGCTCGCAGGTGGTGCCCGAGCGCAGGTGCGAGCAAGGAGAGTTGCGCGTGGGCGAGTGGACATGCGCAGGGCGTGCGAACTGGCGTCCTCTGTGCCCGGTTGGGTCCTGCTAGGGGCTCGGTTCGCGCTGTTGTACATACAGAATTGAGTGCATACCTGCTACGAGCCCCGCGGCGGCCTGTGCGAGTTGGGTGTGCGTGCGAGATGGCGGCGTGAGGAGAGAGCGGAACAAGCGCCCATCGTGCGAGCGCGTCTTCCTCCCAATACACCCCCTGTCTCCAATACACTCCCAATACCCTGCCACGTCCCTACTATGCTCCCAAACCACTGCCAATACACTCCCAATACCCTGCCCGACGCACAAATTCACTCCGGACACTTGAGGAGCCTGAGCACCTCCGCCCCCGCACCCCGCGATTGATCCGCTTCCCCGCATGAGCGCTCCGGTGCCGCATCCAGCTGTGCTGGCACTGGCAGCCACTGCGGGGTACCGCGTGTTGATTGCTTTCCAACCATGTTGAACTTCGTCGCAAGGGAATATCGTCGGCCATGTGCGCACGGGTTGGATAGTTTACATTGAGGATCGCGCGCGTGCAGAGAGAAGATTTCATATAATTTAAACCGAACATAACAAGTACACCATCATCGTCTAGTATTACAGGACGTCGTTCGTGATACAACGGACGCGACGCGCGCACGCGCCCGCAGACGAAGCCATACGACTAGCGAAGTACGAAGAACAGTACATAGAAGGAGACGGGGCGGAGAGTCCTACGGTTTTGAGTAATATACGGGCAGCAAGGAGCGGAGCGAGACGAGACGGATACGCGAACGCGCGGAGTATCTAGCAGCCATACACACAGGATAACAGTACGAAACCGACGGGCAAAAAGGAACGCATATACACGGACAGAGTGGGGGGTAGTGTTCACTCGTCATCGTCGTCCCCATCACCGCTACCGCTGTCGGCCTTCTTGCCCTGTGAAAAAGAGTAAGCGACGAAAATATGAGCATGTGCATGGCGTGTACGTACGTCGTAAGCATTCTTCTCCTCCTCGGCCCGCGACTTGTCGGCTGCAGCCTGGTCGAGGTAAGGCTGTGATACGCAGTTGTTAGACACGCATATAACCACTAGATACAGCAGATATACCTTCTTCTCGTCGTCGTCGAGCTCCTTCCACTTCGCGCCCAAAAGCTTGCCGATTTCACCTATCACACGCGTCTTATCAGTAACTGAACATCCCACGACAACGGGGTCGAGCACTCACCGAAACCGGCGTCAGGGTTTTCGGCCTTGATCCTCTCCCGCCAGTCCTGGCTGAAGAACATGTATGCGGACAGCGCCCGCTTGGGTGCCTTCGGGTCCTTCTTTCCCTTCGCTTTCGGCGCCTTATCCTGCTTCGTGGCCGCCCTCCTCTGCGAATAGAACGCTCAATCAGCACCGCTCAGTGCACATACGGCGGCCCCGAGGTGGGGGAACGCATATATGCGGGCAGAAGTGGACATATGCGCACCTTGGTCGTCTTGGTGGTCTCCTTCGGCATCTATAAGGGCAGGAGGTGTATGAGCAGGGCATCCAACACGTCCCCGAGCAATGTGGAAGCGCGGCGAGGTCGTCAACACGGTTGCGACGCGTGCATGTTGGACGCGTCTGGGCGCGACGCGCCGCCCCGCGCCGCCTGCGCGTCGGCGACGACGACAGCGCACACGGATCGATCGCGAGCGAGCATCGGATAACGCGCAATGAGCACTCGTACGCACCTCTAACAAGTGTGGGCGGGGGGCAGGTGGTGGTCGCGGTGTGTTGTGGTGGGCGCAGAGGGCAGCGCTAGGCGCAGGCGTACGCAGAGGAAAATGGCTGGGCTGGCTGGCTGGCTGGTGAGAGGGCTCTGGCTGGGTGGGGGCGCAGGCTGCGCTGTGAGACTCCGCGTTTCCCGGACATCATC